TGTGGTTTGAGAACAACATTGTTGACTTTTTTCTTTTCTTAGGAAACTGAAATAAGATTTTAATGAAAAGGCTTTTTTCCATACAGTACACTTTTGTTAACATGAAGAGATCTACTAAACCGAAACCTAAATAAACCTAACATAAGCACTAATCCTAATATAAGCAAGATTTGTTTTGCTATATTTTTCAACCAGAAAGTTCAATTAATCTGTCATTTCTTAAAAGTTAAAACTTACTATAACCATATGCATAAATAAAACATATATGTAACATATATACTAAGCAAGTATATATGCCCCAAAACTTATATTTAATCTTAAATTCTTTTTTCCTACTAGTGTTAGAACAAAATAACTATATTGGCTAAAATGACCAGAAGAATATCCCTAGAGATGCTCTTCCCTTCTAAATTCCCTCTTTCTCCTCATAAAAGGTATGCCAAGATACCCAAGAATAAATGTTTTGTACATAAAATGAGTGCCCTGTCATGCAGATATTTTTAAAGAGTTGAAACCCAAGATAATTTTAATACAAAATTCAAGTTATAAATCACAAGCTATGTTTATAAGGAATCTAATGATAAGTAACAGGTCAAACAACCTGAAAGAATCAGCTTGTGGTACAAGCTTCATTGCATTAATAATGTCACAGTTAGTATGTTTATTAAATTAAATATTCCCAGCAAGGGTCTTCTAAATGCCATGTTCCTAATACTAGATTACATATTTATTTCAGAGTTAGCATAGTAAGAGGGGGAGCTACCACTAGAAGGTCTATTAAGCCATGTGGGTTTTTTTCATGGCTTTAATGGAACTATTCAAATCAAATTTTTCACGCCATGCCTTGAACACTGCTGCAAACCATACTGTGGGTGTAAAATACATGCAAGGCGGATATAATCAGCTCAGATGAGACCAGCGACTTGTACACCATCAAGTTTACTTTATTGTGAAAGCAGTGGGGTTTTCTTTCAAGTGAATATATTTTTAAATATGTTGCAACCTAACTTACAGCTGAGGACAGGAACCAGGAAGACACATAAATCTCAAGGCAGCTCAATGACACCGAGTATAATGCAGGACCTAAAATCTCGCCTAGTTTGCCTCTGTCTGCCCTGAGAAATTCTTATCTTCTTGTTCTGGCAAAAGAAAATCTGACTGTCCAAAAGTAAATCTTGCACTCCAACCGTAGCTTCAACAAATCATATAGATTCAACTCGCCTAAAAAGTCTTAGGTACCTTTGAAAAGACCGATTTTACTGATATTTGGCTAAAAATTTACTCTTTCAAATATTAGAATTAGCCAAGCAATTGCCCACATACCAGAGTAAATTATTTTAAAAACTGAATGTTTACCGCTGGTCTTTCAAGTTGTTGACTTCTTCATAATTCAGTTTATCTAAAAATAATTGTTGCTGTTTCCTTTAGAGATCTACTTTGGTCTATTTGCACTCAGGATCCTAAGATCTACGTTTTTTTCCCATCCCCGTGGCTAAACTGCCTACGTGATAAAATAAATAATATACACACAAAGAAGTGCTGCACCTGAGGACAGGCCGGACATTTTACAAAATCACTTAACACAAACACGTTGCCCAAATATCGCTATCACGCGTTTTAAATTATCCGGAAATATAATTGGCCTCTGTTCAACAAGGCTTTTGTTTCTAGCCTGCACCCTAAACAGAAAGTAGAACATCCTTGAAAGCTTCAATGCTAAAAGGATAAATACTTCTCATCACAAAGCGGGGGGTGGAGGGGTCACGAAGAATTTTAGCATTAGGATTTCTAAGAAAACGACCCTGCAGGAGGTCAGAGGGTTCAAAAGTTCTCTACAGATCCTGAATTACTACGTTTTAAGAGCTCGGGTGTTGTCAGTCAGTCCTAAAACGACAGAAACAACCTGATTTGGGAAGCAAACCGTTCAGGAAGTTTCTGCTAGGCCTGAAACGCTTTCACGTCCTAAATCCTAGTCGGCTGCCCGGCCTGGCTCCCGAGGACGGCGGCGCCCCCCCACCCCCGGGCCCCCGGCCCCAGCCAAGGGCGCAGGCCCCGCTCGACCAGCCTCCGAGGGGCTGAGAGAACCGCCTGGACTCCCAGCCTACCAGCCCCGCGGCCTGGATTCCCTGCCTGGACCCCTAACCTGGACTCCGGGCCTGGCCCCGCGGCCGGGCCAGCCAGGGCGCAGCCGCCCGGCCCACGGCGAAACTAGAGAGGCTCGGCCCAGGCTCGGCGCCGGCGCCAGGCCTCCGGGACGGCCCACTCCCGGCCGAGCTCCTGCAGATGCCCGTCGCCGCCGGCCCGGGCTCGAGGGCGCCCGGACGGCCCTAGGCCCGGGCCGAGCTGTGGCCTCGCCTGCGGAGCAGGACGGACCCGCGGCCGCAGCGCGCTCCGTTCCCGCCTCTCGTCTGCCCCGACCGGCGGCCGCCTCGGAGGTGAAGGACTGGGGGCGCAGCAGCTCTCGGCGCGAGCAACGCCTCCGGCTGCCGCGCTCAACCCCACGCGGGTGGTTGGAAGTGAGTTAAGATGGCGCGGACTCCGAGGAGCTGAAAGGCATGAGCCAGAATAAAGTGTTAGCCGCACGCTCGCCTTCTTTTTCCTTTCTTTCTCTTTTTGAAAACACACTTTTGAAAACTGAGGAGATGTGCCGTTGACGGGGAGGACTCGTCCTCCACTCCTCCTCACCCTGACTCCTGCCCTCACGGAGATAAAAAGGCAACTCGAAACTTAACCCGGGCCGCGAACTTTGGTTCCCACAGTCCCTCCCAAATGCAAACTGATTTCCTTGGAACAGCAGCAGCTTCTCAGGCACACGGACAGTGTCATTTTCCCTGATCCCCAAGACTTTTGGGAAACGAGGAGATATGCTCATGCTGGAAAGGGACAGGAAAGCACGCTGCCTCCGAGAGGAGCGCGGAGCTGCAGATTTACCTCTCGCTGACTCAGTCCACACAGCAGATGGTGGCAGAGCTGCAAGGGAAACGACCTCCCAATTTTTTTAAGTACTTCCTAATAGCAGCTAAGTGCATCTTTCAGTACAAGGCACTACGTTCCTGTGAAATCTATCCTCGGCTGCTAAGAGCTGCGTTTCCGCACGTGACAGCGACTCCTTGGCTGGCGGGGACTCGGGCCCGAGGGCGCAGGGCTCCAGCGGCCCGGCCCCGGGGTGGAGAGCCGAGCGCGGCCCCGCAGCCCGCGCCCTCGGTCCTCGGCGTCCCGCGCCCTCCGGGGCGCACGTGCGCCGCCGCCTCCAGGCGCAGGGCGGCGAGGGCCAGGGGCTCAGTCCCCGTGGGTGATTACAAGAATACAATGCTCGACCTCCCTTGCTCCACAGTCACCGTGTTTTGTACTTCTAGTCCTCTTGTTTAGTTCTTAGGTGTGGGAAGGGAGAAAGAAACACAAAGGAAAATCAGCCATCGCTTTTCTACGTGGCAGACAAAACTCCGCGGAACGCCGTCTAGTGGTGAAATTGTCCAGGGAAGGCAAATCGGTTTTGTCCCCCCACGAATTTTCATTTTAATTGGAACTTTGAAGCCTTTTTGCATCTGTCAAATTGCAAAGGGGACACAGGACAATCTCTAGGTGGTGGTAAACTTAGTCCGGTAACCTGAGACTGGGCAAGACTAAGCAAGAAGGTTGGACTATTTTCCACCTCTTTCCTGGATCTCCTTTCTCTGGCGACAAAAGTACAAAAATCGCGTCTCCACGAGGTAAAGGCAGAGCTCTGCGCACTCCCTGACTAAGACGCAGCAACCCTCGGCTGGAATGCCCACATTTCTGCATTTGTTTTCAAGGGATGGGGATCTGGCTTGGGCAGGACTGGCACAGGGATTCCACTGTAGTAGAGATGGAGTGGTACCCCATAGATACCTCCAAACAAAGTTTTAAGTTCAGTGGTTAAAAACCGACCTTTCACGAGTTGGCTCTCTGCGTCCTTGGCGCACTCCAACCCCACCCAATCTCGCCTCCCCGCCCCAAACCGTTCACTCAAGAAATGTAGGCCATTCTGCGTTTGCATTTACAGATTCGCCACGTGCCTCCAAGGCCTCTTCGACATCTGCCTAAATCTGCGGTCAACAGCCTAATTTGACATGCGTTTAAATTACATCCTACTCTTGCCCAAAGCCTCCTGCCTTAGTTTGTGAAATTTAAAGAAATCAAGTCCTTATTAAAGACCCTGCTTTTCCTGCTCGCATTATTTACAACTTCAGAGAGATCAGATAGATATGATGAGGAAGTGCATACATTTTCCTGGAAAAAAAAATGAGTGCAATAAAGTGAAACTTGACTCATAGGGAACTAAGTAACTGTAAATAAGAAGGAAAAAGTAATTACCGGTAGTGCTATAAAACAAATTTAAGAGGAAAATGGAGGTAGTTCCCATTACACAGACTGCCCCATACTGGAGTTGTAACCATAAGGGTCACATATGGAGAATAACTGTAAGGGTTATTCCTTAACCCTTAAGTAATCGCCTATAATAATTAAATTATTCTCAAACTGTAAACTGCTTTCAAACACCATAGCGTTTTACCAGATTTATTTTACTTGTTATACACAGACGATACAAACGAGCAAAAAACAAAACGTTTCTCAATGGAGTGTGTACTTGTATAAATTATTCAGTTCACAGACAAACGAAACAAATATAAAAATCACAACATTAGATTTACAGAAGAGCCAAAATATACACACGTTTAGACCCTGAATTCCTATTAGGAAAAATCCCCCCATGGACTGGAATCTAGATTGAATATTGTGTTTGATGCATATTTCACATTAATTTTAAAATACAAAAAAAAAAGTATAGGTTTGCTACACAACATTAGAAATCCTATTAATCTATTTCCAGGGGGATTAATGCTCCTTATCAAATATAACAAGACGTAGAGGGGGGAAAAATCAGTCTTACTTGCATTAATGCTAGTGTTTTCCCAAGGAAGTCAAATTTCAGCTGTTTCTAGGTGGCGGGGGGGGGGGGTGGGGGGTGGGAAATCATTTTCAGAACTAAAATGCAGTAAAATATACAACTCACACAATTCATCTTCACTAGACTACACTATAGTTACCAACAATTCAGTCATCTATATCATTAGTAGAATATTCATTACAAAGATTTACAGCATATAAAGGTAGAGGAGGGGACTGAAAAGATATTCAGAAACAGTTTTTCAGCATATTTGGCACCTGCACAGACCAGTAATGGATTTGGCACTTTGGGGAAAAACAAATAAGGCAAAATAATATTGCTGATGTCGAACTATTCTATTTAGAAGGAAAGGGGGAAAAACATACAACTCCAGTTAACTTTGCTTTGCAGGCTTCATGCCACTTAATCGACTTGCCTATGAACAGACACCTATCCTTTACAGGTGTTTGTTTGGTCGGCTTCTCCTTAGCTATTTGTGTGCATTAGGGAAAAGAGTAACTATTTCATGCAACGGATTGAGAAGTGAGAAACCCATCATTATCTATCAAGTATTTCATGTTTCCAGAGCCTCTTAGACTATTGTTAATTATCTCACAAGAAAACTTTTTAAAGGGGAGGGAGAGTGGAGAAAAAGGAAAAGAAATGAACGAAAAGGTTCAGCATGAACTGGTTTTGTGCCTTGACGATGAGAATAAAAACTAGCCATTCGTTACAGTAAATTAACACTATATACAATCATTTCACAGGCTTTGTTCCACTAAAATTATTAACATCCCTACCATCCATCCATCCATCCATCCATCCACTCGGGGATAAGAAAGGACGCGCTGGGTGGGTCCAGGTTCTAGAGTCAACATCCTATGGTTAAGCGGGAGGCCGAGACTGGTCGGGTCGGAATCGCTGCAGCCTGACTGGACGGCCCAGGTCTCCTGAAGGTGAAGAGTTGCATTACAAGAAAGAGAAGGAGGGGGTGAGAAAAAGACGAGGGGGAGGAGGTTTGTGAAGAGTGGAACTTCACAGAGGAGAAGAAGTCGGAAAACCCAAAGGTTTACAGCAAAGTCGAAGGTCGGTGCGCTAATTGCAGAAACTGCTGTGCAAAAAAAGGTTAAAATCACACTCGGAGACCCGCACTTATTCGCTGCAGACGGTGGTCGAGGGTCAAAGGAAACGGGGGTGCGCGAGGTGGGGTGTGAGGAGGAGGAGGAGCTGGGGAGGCGCTAGGAGGGGCCGGCCGGGGGTCCGGGCCGCGGCGGGCAGGGCCGGCCTAGCTGTGCGAGTAGAAGCCGTAGTAGCCGCCTATGTCCTTGGCGCAGTTCTTCTCGCAGTCCCGCTGGGCCAGCACCTCGCTCTTGAGCGGAGACGAGCTCTCGGACACGGGCGTGTCGGCGGGCGAGATCCGCCTCCGCTTGGCCTGCTCGTAAATCCCCGAGTCGCTCGAGTCGATGGACTTGATGGAGGAGGGGGTCTCGATCCAGCTGGAGTCGGACAGGTCCTTGGGCTTGGCGTCCTCGGCGGCGCCGGGCGGCAGCGGCGAGCGCTCGGCGGCCAGGCCCTCGGCCTCCTCGCCCAGGTAGGGGTTGGCGCCGGCCATGCGCGCAGCGGCCGCGGCGCTGTTGGGCCAGCAGGGCAGCACCGAGCCCGACTTGGCGCCGCAGTACTGCGGGGGGCTGCGCGCGCCCCAGCCCGACGGGTCGGCGTAGTAGCCGAGCGGGCGGCCCGTGCAGCCGGCGGCCTGCAGCGGCAGCGCCTTCACGCCCGCCGCCGCGTACGAGAGCAGCGTGGCCGCGTTGCCCGCGAAGTCCGTGGCCGTGTCGTAGGCCGAGGCGGCGAAGTCCAGCCGGTTGTTGGCCGGCGTCACAAACCAGCGCTGCGGCGACGGCGCGCCCGGGTCCTCGGCCTGCTGCGGCGACAGCAGCCCGTTGGTGTGAGGCACGCTGCGGTCCGTGCCCGGCCCGGGGCCCGCGCCCGCGCCCGGGTGGAAACGGGCCTTGGCGTAGTTGCTCACGAACTGGTCCTGGAGGAACGAGCCGGCCATGGCGTAGCGGGCCCCGGGCACGATCTGCGAGCGCGGGGAGTCGTTGGGCGAGGGGGTCAGGCGGTCCATGTCGCAGCCGGTGTAGATCCTGCGAGGGAAGGAGAGAGAGAGAGAGAGAACCGAGGGGTGGCGCAGAGGTCCCTTGGCGGGGGGCGCGGGAGGCAGAAGGGAAGGCCACCGCTTTTCGCCCACCCCCGCACACTCTTCATCTGTAACTTGCCGTCCAGGGTGGAGACAGACAAAAGGTCACAGACCTGCATCCTCCCCAGAATCAATCGTGAAATTATAAAGGAGCCCATTTGTCTGTTCAGGGACCTAAGCAAGATCCAGATCAAGAGAAAAGCTTCCCTCTTTTGCTCTCTCTCGCCAGGTGTACACAAGGGACTGAGGAACAGGGCAAGCGATTCTCATCCCGCTTGCTTCTCCAATATACGTATGCACGTTAAGGCACATTGACCCGGGGACTAAGGTGTTCTTTGTCCACTGGGCCTTTCCTCTGCGGTGAGAATTTCTGAGCGAAATTTCTACACAAGGTACCACTCCTCCACCCTTTTAAGACCGCTTTCTTCCAGGTGACATACACGCGGGCCGTCCAGGTAGTAATCCTCAAAGAGCGGCCTTCACCAGTCTTCTGTGGCCCGAGGAAGCCTCCACAGTACTTACTGTCTATTGTTTCCCCCCCGTGAGAGCCTTTAACCCCCACCTCTACCGACACAAACAAGAACTACTACTTGGAGACAAAGTCATCAATCAATAGCATTCTTTTACAAAGAAAAAATGTTATTTACTTTGACCTTCTCTCCCCTGATTTTGATCCTTTACTGGTAAAAAAAAAAAACCCACAAAACTTTGGGGCAAACTCTTTCAGTACAGTTATCAACCTCCTCCAAGCAATTTCCCACTAATAGCAGCTAACCCTATACAGCTTGACTCTGTGCCAGGCCCTGTCGTCTAGGCTCTGTACAGACAGTAATATGGTTAACCATCACAATAGTCCTCTGAGTTAGGTACCATTATTTTCCCACTTTACAGATGACAAAACTGAGGCAAGGGAAGTTAAATAACTTGCCCAATCACTGACAGTAATTATGTTACTGAGAATTACCTTAGATAAAATAATCAAAGATTAACTTTAGGCCCTGGGCCTAGAAAATCCCATTCGAATCGAGAGGGAAGCAGAGAATGGATCTAGATTGGTAGAAGTGTTTTCTCATACACATACACACATGCCTCCCTTTTTGTTATACGCATAAATGTTTTAATCTTTAATCCACAGATTGTTTTGAAAGAGAGCCTCAGTCTTGTCAGGCCTGAATCCTTTGGGGAGGAGAGTCCCCGGTGAGTGGCCAAGCCACCTTCTAGTCCCCCTGAACTCTGATTGCTCTCACTATTTCTCCAAAAGTGAGCCATACCCAAATAACCAACATAAAAAGGGAAAGGGAGAGTGTCATAAACCGCTCTGCTCTTCCCTGGCCCCTGAAATTCTAAGGTATCCATTTGTATATGTAAATAAGGTTTTTAAGAAAAATATATAGTGATTTAAGAATCAAAGGGAAGTGGCTTTTCCAACAGAAGTCAGCCAGAGCAGGGGCAGCTGAGGGTCACGCTGTGGCTGCTCAGGTCCATTCTGCTTACTGCACAAAATTTCCCTCCTGAAATTGAATTCCAGTTTCCAATAAGAGAAGTAGAGGGAGGCAGGAAGGGAACATAACCAGCAAGGTGCAAATATCTTCTCTGTTTACCACCACAATATTTTAAAAAGAAAAAAGCAGTCTGCAAAAGATACAGTTTAGATGCCCATCCAGGTCCCAGGCCACTTGGGATTACTGAATTAATTTGTGCAAAATAAAATGCTTTGGAACAGATGTTCACAACAGAATTAAAAGCTCAGAATCTACAAGACCCCCTGGTACACAGACCAATATCTTTGGTCTCCTGGGCCACACACTTTCCGCTGTGCCGAGTCCACCTTTTTAGATTGTGAGGACTAGAGTAGCCAAGTTTTTATTCTGGGGAATCATATTGAAGAGGCTGGCTTTTTTTGAACGACTTTTGAGGGATGCACATGATGGTTACACGCAGGAATGTCAATGACTCTCTTTTCAATTTGTTATGAAAATTATCAGGAGGGAGGTTCTTATCTACCTGGAGATGGAATGGAGGCAGCCACTTGTCTCTCTGCAAATTCAAACTACAGTATTTCTCGTCAAAGACAGCTTCAACTTTGTAGCTCTATTCCAGGCATTTAATGCAAGCTGTGAAATTAAAATTTATCTACCATTCCTGTTTTATGGTCAGAAAAAAGTAGAGGGATCCCCACAATCCAGATTTAGACTGTGCCATATAACACTGTCTGAACTCTTAGGCACTATGCTTGGACTCTGAGCAAGAATGCTAGAAAAAGCCCAGAAAACATTCAGTTTACACCTACTGTTGCCCCCAGCCAACAGCATTTGGATAGACCAGAAATGGAGAAAGGTAAGAAGGTAAGGGAGGCCTGGAGAAAAGGGAACCGACACATTTAATTAAAACACCAAAGATAAGAGGAAATATTTTTCTTTTGAATATTATAAATAATACACAGCAACAGCAGCTGGGTCCTTCCCAAAGCCTGAAATGACTCTAACTGTGCCTCTGCTCATGAACTTGCCTGTGGTGGGTGCACATTTTTATTCAGTCCATAGTAAACTTGCACAGGAAAAGCTATTACACAAAACTTGGAAATGGGTAAATAAAAGTCACATATGCCAAGGAGACTGTAACAACTGCCAGAGCCACATGCACTTTCAGGCAGAATCGGGCGGTTTCAGACACAGACAATCTGAGCTGAGCATCTGCAGCGCCACATACAACTCCCGCACCCGGGAACCGGGGCAGCTTCCCCAGCCAGCCAGCCCCAGAGGCCCGCCAACAACTCCGAAAGTCATAAAGCTAAAAATAGGTGAAGGAAAGCTTTGACCAAAACCACAGAAGTACCAAGCCGGAAGGTCACCAGAGAGAAGGGGAGCCGACAAAAAGGAAAGGGAAAACCTTAAAAACAACCCTGTCTTCACACATTCTAGCTTCCAAAAGCATTGTACGTAACAATCCACCTTTGACCTACAGGCCAATTCCACAACTTTCTGAGAAGGAAGATGCAAAATGACTTACGTGTCGTAATTATCCCGAAATCCTTTAGCGAAGGGGTTGTGGTCTATTTTCAGTTGTGTAATCTGGGAAAGAGAAAAGAAGATGAATATGATCTCGCCTTCTATACAGGAGGATTGGGTGTTTGATAATATGTCATCTGCCACTTCTTACAGGGGCTTAAGGCCTGCAATTTCAATAAATAGCAAGGTTTCCCCAACTGAGAAATTTGATGGAATGGGAAAGAAAAAAGAGAAGGTATCATGAAAGTTTGAGGAACATGTTTAAATTAATGATGCGTAAAACTAAAGGATTGCCTTAGATCGGCTCTCCCATGTCTTCTAAATTGGTTCAAATGCACATTTTTAAAACGTTACACACAATGCACTTAGACAAAAATCTTTGAGGGGCACTTGAATTCATCATGAAATTATGCCTATTTTAAATGTTTCATCATATTTTTAAAAGTTGGTCACTTCTGATTCACAACCTGAAGAACTCACAAGTTGATCTCAACATCAGTTTTGATTTAAAATAAATGCATGTTTTTCATTTCTGATATTTTCATTTAAGTTAAAAAAAAAAAAAAACCACCATCAATCCTAGTAGTCAAATCAACAGCAGTAAAATAAGTTTTTGCAAACTTGCAAATACTGAAGAGGTTCAAGTGCTAAGAAACTCATTCCACAGCCCCCAGTAATTTGATTTATTGTAGTTTTAACATATATGGATGTGTGTATCCTTTTCATCACCCAAAAAGTGGTGTATGTTTATTTCAGCCATCAGTTCTGAGACTTTAAAAAAAAAAAAATTTGTTTAGATAAAGCCAAATCTTGCCAAGAATAAAATGCAGCAGGAAATCTGCTTGTTTTCTAAAGGGAAGAAGGACTTTAAAAAAAAAAAAAAAAAGCAGATCTAAATCTGTTCTGGTTTGAGAACGAAATTAAAATTTCCAAGACAAGAGGCCCTAGAAATCCTGGACACCTCAAAGGTGGCCCGGGTGACCCGCGACGGAGACGAATAGGAGGCGTTTTCCCACCGGCTAGGTATTTAGGGGAGGTGCCCAGTAGGCCCCTAGCCCTATGCCAAAACGGCTCAGCAGAGTCAGCTGTTTTGGACGTTAGTGCCCGAGCCGGGACGGCCGGGGGGATCCCGGCGGGTGTGGGGGGAAGCCGGGGCCGCCCGCCGCGCGCCCAGCCCCCGGGCCTCCTTACATCGGTGTTCTGGTAGGCGGTGACGGCGATGAACTGAGTCTCGGGGAAAGTGAATGTCTGCACGCGGCCTGGCTGGCTGGTGTCCTCCGTGCCGTCCTCGTTCACTTCCACCACATGCAGGCGGGGCTGGTACTTGTGCAAGGACTGTAAAACCACCATCTGTCCGGCGGAGAGAAAGGGGAGCGCCGGGCGGCGCGTTAACGCGGTCGGTGTGCGCGGGGCTGTGCTCCGCGGGCGGCGCGGAGCCGGCAGGAGCCCGCCGCCCCGGCTCCCTGACCGCAGGACGCGCCTGGCTGGTGACCGGCTCGCTGGGCCACACCAGCCCTCGGTCCTCTGGGAGCAGGACTCGCGGAGCCCCGGAGGAAAACCGAACCCGACCGCCCGATCCACGGGGCCCTTCTCCTAGTCCTCCTTTAAGGAGGAACAAAGATTTTCACGGCGTACAGATCCTGTGGTGTTCTTCTCGAAATCAACCAAGTATTTGTACATGGGAAGGTCAGAAACTCGGGAATTGGGCGGGGGGCGAGGAGAACAACTTTATAGGTTATTTAGTATAATTTTGGAGAGTGGAAATAAAATTTTTTTAAAGTCCTTTTAATGAAGCAAAGAAGGATGTATGTAGTTTCTCATGCTGATTTAAACTGATGAACTGGATGTTAGGGAGGGACGAGTGTGTGTGTGTGTGTGTGTGTGTGGGTGGGTGGGTGAGAGAGAGAGAGGGAATGAGCGCTTGAGCCACTGACCTGCCCATTGTTGTTTGAAGCTCCTTTGTTGTTTGTAAGTTTTAATTTTCCAAAAGAGATTTCTTGGCGCATCCAGTGAGCCCCCGTGTTGGGGGAATCCGGATGCATATAGACTCGATTTCCTAGAGAAAGAAATCAGTTGTTTACATCTGCCCCGGGCACTGCCCAGTCCCAACTCCTCACAACGTAGGACACACACACACCCCTTATTCCACCGTGAGGCCCATTAGCTGGGGCTTTTTTAGGCCGCGCTTTCTTCTTATTAACTGGGGATGATTAAAATAGCTTTTGCATAATCCTCCCCCTTCTCGCCGCTCAGTCTGTCCCCCTATCCCCCTCGTTTCCTTTTAGAAGTCATTGGCCGATCGCTTTAAAAGTCGCTCGAGCCAGTCCACAAAGGCTTTAATTAATCATTCTCACCTAAATAAGTGTCAGGAAAACGTGTTAATTGGAAGGACTTGCCTTGCACATTGGTGTCCGCTTTGCCGCAAGGAACCCATTTGCCTCCTTGAAACCTCCAGTGATTGGGATCCGCCAAAATCACATCCACAAAAATATTGTAATGAGCCGTGGGATCGAGACCAGAAATGTTAAAACTTAAAAAAGGAAACATGCGCCTATTTAAATTAAGGGGGGGGGTGGGAAACAAGGGGGAAAAAAACATAAATGTTAAAGATTAAATGCAAGAAGCGCGGCGCCAGATAGCAAAGCAAAACTTGTTCTCGCAACGTCGATGAGCGAGTGTTCGCTGGGTTAGAAAAGGGGTGGTGGGGGGGGGGTAGGAAAATAAGTGGGGCTGAAGTCGGGGAGATCGGTGGGTGAACTGGAGTGGGGAGTCGGCAGGTATCACTGCCCAGGTGGAGAGCGAGGTTGACGACCCGCATCTCCACTGTCCGTGCATCCGGGCGTGGATGCGTCCCTCCCATCTGCCGGCCACCGGCCGGGGCTCTCGCTCTCTTGCGTTTCTCCGGTCACTGACTGGCTCTCTGACCACCTTTCTAGAGCGGGATTCCCGCACCCCACCCTGCCCCAACATCGCCGCGGTGGTTATACCTTCCACTTTCCCCTTTTCCAAAACCTGCCAACTCTAGGGCGCACCAGAGCGCCTTCCACTCTGCTCCCGGCCCCAAATAGTCGCTGCCACGGCGGTCACAACCCGGGTGCACTTGCTCCCCCGGGCTGCGCCTGGAGCGGCGGCAGCCAAGATTGTAGCATTACCTTCCCTGTTTGGTGATGATCATCTCCGTTTGATGCCGGTGAAATTTCAGCCAAAGAGGCCTGTTGCACAGGTATACCTGCGCTTTCCCGGGCACCAGCCCGGGTTGTGTGGAGGAGAATTGGTAGAACGGGGCTCCTTGGTAGGAGTGGCCGTACTGCTGTGGGTAGGGGTAGCCGGCCGCGGGGTAGCCCTGCGGTGAGGAGTTGGACAGGAGGCTGTTGTAGGCTCCGTTGGTGATGACCGGGTGGTGGGCCATGTAGCGACTGGGGCTGCCGATGGAGAAGGCGGGGTGCGCCGGTCCGTGCTGGCCGGGGTACGGGAACATGGCACTGGGAGCAGTGGCCGCAGACTGTGGCTGGCTGGACTGAGAGAGGAGGTAGCGATCTGCAGCAGAGCCATCGAAACTGTGACGAAGCTCAGAGACCCCGTCCAAGACAGGAGAGAGTTTACTTCTCTGGACGTCCCCTGGTGAGTCCTTGGAGTCAGGAAAATTGTCTGTATCTGACTGATTCGTCATCCCCCTGGTAATTTTTTTCAAAGGTGAACTTCTCTCCAGGTTGTCAGTGGTCGAGATAATGGGATGATCGTGCAAGACAAGCTCAGATCCGCCTGAATGTGGGTAGCTGCTGCTCACATTGAGAAATTTCTTGGAGAGCATGATAGAAGGAGAAAGGCAGTGCTCCAGCTGCATAGCTCTAGAACCTGAACACTCGCCCTCCTGTCCCTGGTTTTTAAAGTCCTATTTATCATAAACTAGAAATCCACAGACCCCCTCACTAGACAGAAAGCACTTCAACCAGCAAATGCTTCTCAAAGGTTTGATTTACTTTTTTTTTTCCCTGGGAGAAGAGATTGGCCAATTGACACTATGCAGCAATCAGAAAAGGCTCACTTTTGATCTTGCTGCTTGTGCAGCCGATGAAACGGCTCCTGCCATTGGTTAACTGCTGACAGTAATTTAATTAGATAGACATTAATTAGGATAATCACCTGGCTCCCGGTCGCGACGATCATGGCAAATTGAAGGGGATGATTTTATTGTTGGTTGGGGGTGGGGGGGTGGGGAATGTGTGTTGGTTTTACGTGAGCATTGTTATGTCACCTTTAAGCTTTGTGACCACTGCTTTTGGAAGATTCAAAGATGTGCAATTTACTAAACATTTTCCTACCTTCCCCCCCACCGCCCTCCTTTCGAGCTGAGGGGCGGAGGAGGGAATTCGACGATGCTAGGAGACTTTTCGGATCTGAATGAGCCAAATATTCAGTTGAATGTAACGATTTCAAGTGCAAAGTATACAAAGCGCGAGCCGGTGGCCTCTTCTCGCCCTGTAAAAGTTCCAGAGTCTGTCTTTTCCAGTTAATACAGAAGCACACAACACCTGAGCCAGTTCTTTGTGAGCAGGTCCTGCGTGTCCCCGGCGGCCCCCCCCCCCCCTCCATGCACACCTTTTAAACTGCATACATAAATAAATAAATCACTGCTGTTGAGAGCCACAGCGATGAAAGTGAGCGGGAGGGGGGAGAAGTGGGGGCGAAAAGCAGCAACTCACCCACCCATCCACCCACCTCGGGAAGGTTCGGTTTCTTGGTCGAGCACAGAAACAGTGACAATCTATGATCTCCTTTTTAAGTTTTGAAATAATCATAAGCTGTCGGGCTGAAGTGCCTTAATGTATTTGCAATGATGTTTACGAGGTCTTTACTAAATATTTTATCAGCGAGCTTGGTTGCAGATTATCTGAAGAGCATCTAACTGGGGGCAGGCGCCATGCATCCCTCGCGTCCCGCTGCACTTCCTTCTCTCTGAGGTACTGGCTTGGCGACAGGTTCAAAAGCCTCGCCAGGAAAAGAGAGGGCCGAGTCCTCGTGCAAATGGGTTCGCTAGAAGCACTGATCTGGGGAGACAGAGTGGAAGTGGTGTCAACGCAGTGATTGTTACTGAAGACTCGTGTGTGTGTGTGTGTGTGTGTGTGTGTGTGTTTAATGTTTATATAACCTGGAGGGGAGAAAAAGAATCCATGCCAGTAATTTTAAAATGAGGAAGAATCTGAGGAGAAATAGAGAAAAGAACCAATTTAAAAGGATGTTAGCACAAATAAATAGCACGAGGCCAAAGCGACCCCGAGGTGTAGGCAGAAATCTCCCGTTCCCAGTACTGGCTCTACAGAGGTGCCCAGCCTTCCTGGACCCGAGGGCCAACAGCAGCAGGGCTTTTATCGGCCAAAGCTGCTCCCCGCGGCCGGCACCGGCCAATCTGCCCTCCGGCGGCTTTCCCCAGACGCCGAGCGGCGCGCGATGCAAGAGGAGCGCAGCCCGGAGCTCAGCTCGCCCGGCGACCCGGCTCACAGGCGGGCCGGCTCCGCGCGGGGCACTGCTGGGGCTGGCGACGGGAGGCCACCCCGCAGCCCCGCGCCCGGCGCCCCGACCCACACCAGAGGCCCGGCTCTGGCTCATTGTCTAGGGTCCCCGAGCGACCGGAGCGTAGGCTCCCCAGTACCCTGGCGATGACGGGAGGGGGCCGCCGCCCGGGAGACTGCGGGAGCGCGGGGCGAGCCGCGTCTGGCGCAGGCCCCAGGGGCACACACCCTTCCCGTGCCGGGCCGGCCTGGGCACTTGCGCCCGGGGGAGCCTGTGCTTTGGGGAGGGCGCGTCTGCTCTCCCAGGGCCCCGGCCGCTCGGAGGGAGAGCGACGCTGGGGACATTAGGAGGGTCCCGGCATGGGCAGAGAGGGGTTAACCAGCCTCGACCTCCGCAGAGGCGGGCGCAGCTTTAGGCGCGGCCGCGGCGCGCTGAGCTGCCCGCGCAGAGCCCCGACTGCACCCCGGGGCGGCCTGGGCGCCTTGGCTGCAGAGGGCACCAGCTGTGTCCTCCAGCAGGGCGCCGCGAGCGAGGCCCGGCGCGAGCGGCGCTGGGCTGGACAGGTTGATGACCAGATGTCCCAGACTCAAGCCGAGACAGTTTTCTGGGAGAAAAATAACAGCCAGATCCATTTTTCTTTTCGGAAGCAAATCTCAGCTCCTGGCCAGGAAGCTTCACAAACAAGCAGGGCCTTAGCTGTTGAGGCATTAGGGTACCGGAAAGGGACAGCAGCTATGACACTATTTGACACTTGGGTTTTCTGCCCCTTACCTTCCACCGCCATTTCTCCTGAGAGGTTTTCACCCTATTTTGGCTACTGGTTTTCTCCTTTCTTCCATCATTAACTTCTTTGTCCCGGAGTGCGTCTCTCTCCACTGCTTCCAAGGTCACCTCCTCCTTCCTCAGTGGGACACAGAGCCTTAAGTGTGTAGCAAAAAGGGGAGACTCCACCTGGGCTTTTTTTGAGGGTTTTTCATCCCTGGCACCCTGAATTGGCTTTTTAAAAAATGAAGAATGTGGGGCTGGCTTGGTGGCACAGTGGTTAAGTTTGCACTTTTGCTTTGGTGGCCCCGGGTTCTCAGGTTCTGATACCGGGTGCAGACCTATGCTCCACTTGTCAAGCCATGCTGTGGCAGGCATCCCACATATAAAGTAGAGGAAGGTGGGCACCAACGTTAGATCAGGGCCATTCTTCCTCAGCAAAAAGAGGAGGATTGGTGGCAGATGTTAGCTCAGGGCTAATCTTCCTCAGGAAAAAAAAATGCTAAAATGAAATGTTAAAGTATAGAAAACTGATAGAGTGCAGTTTCCTCAGAATTAAGGAATTGGATTAGGAGAAAAATGTGCACTCTTAGATTATCAGTACTAAATTCAGTGATTCCTCACATATAGGCTGTGCCTTGAACCTGTATATGCTCAAGAGGGAAACTAAGCCTCGCCTCAGGATCAGCACACCTACTCCTGAGAGCAGGGCTCCTCAAACTTTAAAGTGCATACAAACCATGTCAGGATTCTTGATTCTGTTTCATGTCTGGAGTGGGGCCTGGATGCTGTATATATAATGAGCTCCCCAGAAGATGCAGGTGCCCGTGGTCCAGGCAGATCACACTGAACAGTGACGCTGGAGTTTTCAATGCTCCCATACTAGTTTAAGTGGAAGGTAGGGACACCTGTGTACTAGGAGCAAGCAAGAGTTTTGGTTCTAGTGCTGCTTTAACGCTGCTGGGTAGATGGGTAAAGATGCTCACTTAAGCGCATACACACCCCTCAAGTGGCTTGTTGAGCTTGTGATTAAGTCAGTCGCTTCAATGCCTAACTGGGCCTGGGCCATCAGACTGTTGCTAAAATAGCTGTACATTCTGAGACAAAGGCGTTCACTGAGCCTCGTTAGGACATCCTGATTGACTCCAAATCTAAAGAAAATGTAGGTTTTTGCTAGGACGGATTTTGAAAAAGTTGTGAAACTGGCAATGTCTCCAACGTGAACTAAGTGGGAGAAAATGGTATGTGGCTGTAGGGAGTCCAGGAAGATGAGGTGATCACATGAGAAGAGCAAACTGCAGGCGTTGTGTAAGCTTCCTCAGTCACTGTACTCATTCTGGAGATATTTTCACAGGGGACTAAAGTGGAAAAAAAGAGTATTTTCATATGGAATGTTGAGAACAGGCTTCAAATTATTGAGGCCGTCTTCTGAGGGCATATTGTATGAAAAAATCTTAACTAGCTCTAACGAGTATTATCTGTGAAATAAGTCATAGAACCTTATTTATGTAAAGGGAAAAATCATGTATCCAAAAAAACAGTCTGCACATAAGTTTAAATTAGGCAAAAAGAAACTTCTACTAACTTCCACTTATATTTTAATTGTAAATGGTAAACTGTCGTAATCCCAACAATTAATACTCATTACATGTCCTACATAAAACATGCTCACTATAGTTAAAAGAAGATACCACAGGACAAGCAAGAAATGCTCAGAATACCTCTTATTCTACCAAAAGAGGGACTGTGAAACATAGTGGGAATTTAAGCCATTTCCACTTTTAGTTTCTGCTAACTTTTCACTGGGCAACCAGTAAGAGATTAGAATTGTTCAAACAGGAGAGTACTTTAGTCTACCACATCATTCATACCACCTCTAGTAGACGTTAAGTCTAAATTCTAAGTCCTCAAGTAAAATCCTCCTTTAATGAAGCCTTAGAAACATTCTTACCATATTTTCACAAAGGACTAAATTAAAAGACAAGAATTAAATCTTTTTTTTGTCTCCATTTGTTTTGCCACACTCTTTGGTGTACCCAGTATGGTGCTGTACCATGAATGAATATTAACAGGTGATAAACTTATGCATATCAGGTTAAAAGCAGGTTGAAGGATGAGGTAATCTATGCAAACTGACACTAGTCAAATTTTTGTCATAAGCATAAAACTGGGTACTTCTAAGTTATTTGGGAAAGGTGAGCGAAAACAGTAACAAAATTATTGCTTATGTGCTCATGTTAAACTCATATTATGGCTACTTTTCTCATTTTGCTTTGAAGATATTATATACCCTTCTATGGCCGTCTTAGCTCAAAGTCTAGCAGAGTTTGCAGCAGGCAACTCCTAGACAATCTCAACACTGTTGGTGGAATGTATACTCTTTTTAAAAAATGATAAAGTCTAAATTAAAATTGCCCCCTTTCTTCTTAAATGTACTCCTCTGAAACCCTGAATGTATAATATGTTAACAAGCTATTCAGTATACAATATTAACTTGTGACAAATACTTTCAATAAAATATGTCAACATTTTTCTGGGTTACTCACTAATGAGGTAGCCACTGATTAATGGCAATCATTTTACATTTGTGAAGTTTTGTTATCACATTGATGTTTTATGTGTCATAAGATCTCAGAATGCAAAGGGAAACATATCTTTGTGTGAGATTTCTAGAGCACTGTCAAATGTTATTCTGTCAATTCCACCCAGTAGCAAAAAGACCTCAGGAGACATAGATTGTAAATGTATTTTATTTTGTAAGCAACAATCAAAATATATTTGTGTTACTGATTTCTTCAAATATTAAATGGGATCTTAACAAAATTTGTCCACTTTGATGTATTCTTATACAACTTTGGAATCTGCAAAGACCCTGACTAAAGAAACAGAAGTAATTGTACAACTGAGACTGAAGGTGTTACAGTGCTGCAAATGATGCCAGATGTCTTACATTTAACCAAATACACCTTCAGAGGTCCCTTGATTTTGAGCATTAGGAACAACAGAGGAATATACACTGAAAGTATCACTAATAGCTTTTTGCATTGCTTTATTTAAATACGACAGTATCCAACATAGCTGCTAAACACTGGACAATATTTGAAGTCATAAGTACATCCACATGTTCCTCCAAATGACGTTTGGGGTCCTAAAAGAAAAAAATAAGGAAAGAAAAAGAAAAAAGAACTGTATTACTGGTAAACGAATTACTTAGATTTCTTCAGTAACTGATAAAACTGGTAAAGAAAGCCAAACCTAAATTTATATATATTTTACAATTTAACTTCTAAATCTGTTACAATGAAAAACTGATTTACACAATCAATGCTATGACTCTCTATCAGAGATTATAAAGAGTAACAAGGAATTCTACACAGCCTGCAATCATATGATTAAAAAAAAAAGTGTAAGCATTTATATGTGTGTATAAGCCCGAGTGCGTGTGTGTATTTTCTGCCTTTCACATATATTGAATGTCTAAGGGGATACTTTACTCAAAGCAGACATAGAAACAGGTATGAGTTCAGTGTGAATTCTCATCACTTCCTCTATTATTTTAATTTAAATTTAATCCCTGTATAATTTTAATATTTCAGGAATAGTGCTTTAAATGATTCAGGAAATATTCTTGGATCAAAAGTCACTGTTGGTAGCTTAAAAATTTAAATACAATTTGCATCAATTCTAAAATGCTAAGAGTAAATATTTCAGGCAGCTATTTTGAAAAAATGTATCATAGCAAAAGAATATATAGGTACAATCTTTTAACTTAGACCTGATCAAATCTGTATTTGAAATATCTGAGTTAAAAATGAGGCTTAAAATTGCTTTGTAATAAAGGAAGTTAAATTAAAATGCTCAATTTATATTTATGTTTAAGGTTGAGCTGAATGAAGTATTTTAGCTAAATTTGAAAGCTTTCAAATAAAGGATATATATTGCACACAATAAAAAACTTCCAATAAAGCATTATTTTCTTATGAGTATTGCTAAAATACCCAAGACTCTTAACTTTAAACAAATGTTCATCACTGGAATTATTTCTTGGCTGTTCTTTTCTAAACTACAATTTCAATACGCTTGATTTCTTTAAACAACCCAGAGATACGACATGCTAACATAATAATTTGAAATTTTCTTTATTTCAGAAATATGCCTTAGGGCATTTTAGGTGAAAGAGACTGAGAAAGACTGGCAGGAGAAAAAGATATTGGTCTGATTCCATTATAGACAGTTTTGCTTTTGCCATGCAGTAGGCCAAACCAGTGAAGTAGAGTATTTTTTAAAAACGATTCTGATTAATATTGAACTTTGCCAATTATATATTTTTCATTCACTTTTATTTTAGTTTAGTCCTTTTATTTGCTGCTAACTGTTAAATGAAATCTACATCAAGAATCTATAGCTTCAGTTACTTATTCAAAAAATAGTTACTGTATTCTATGCAAGTACAAGGCTCCAAGAGATGATCTAATATTATATATTAGACTAAAATAAGTAGTAGGAAAAGAAAACACGGGTAACTATATCACACCGGATGAAGAGAAGAAGATGAACTATATTTCACTTTGTTTTTGGAGAGTTCTTGTTTTTAAATTAAAATATTCAGAATGTAGTGAGATCTGATTTCACCAATTATGATATGTAAGCCAGACCTTTGCCCCTACTGCTCTGTTGGAGTAACTGGTTTTGTAGTGAATTGGTAATACACTTCGCTCAGTTATCTACATTACTTCTTGTGGCAGCTGGGTGATTCTTAGAGATTTCCCATCCAAGAATGGTCCTGGCCCAAACCTACAGAGCTTGTGAGATGTGATGGGATCAGAGCATATGGTAGGATGGCTGAAAGCAAAGACAGCTTAGTGTCTTGCATCTGAAATATCAAGATTCTGCCAACATCAGCAATATGATAACCATGTTCCATGAAATGAAAAAAATGTAATCAACATTCTTTAAAAAACAGTCTAATTAATCTGTAGATTCATTTAATTGGTTGGTATATTCCCCCCAACCCTCAGAAAATAGGAACTAAAATATATATTTCATCTTGGAAAAGTGAAAGAACAAATACTTAAAATCCTTTCTCTTCACTCAGTATAGTCCAACAAAGCTCTAAGCTCTCTCAGGAACATTACTTACATATTGAAGCCTACATATTGATAAACTGTGTCATTATGAAATAAATCTACCATTCTATTAATGATCTTCACTGATAATATTTCAAGTAAAAATAATACTTAAAAAATTAACTCAGGACACAAGTTCATAATTTCTTTCTAGTAAATTATTTTCACTAAAGATAGTATCTCACAGGCATATTTATGATTTACTTCTCTACAGACGGCAAAGAATTTGACATCAAATAATTCAGTGACCTTTAAAATTATTATCACATTTACACGACAGAAGAAAAATATAGAGTGAACAGACAGAAAAAAAATCATATAGGCCCTAAAACAGTTTTAACTCTACAAGAGCATATTATTATTCAACTGCATAACCTATTACAGTACACCTCACCTGCTTGCCAACATTCTTTATTGCCAGCTGTTCAGGTGTCATCTTATCTTCTTCTTCTACAGCCTGTGAATGAAACACAAAGGACAGAGTTTCAAATTCTAAATTTACTTTTCCCACTGCAGAATAATCAGCAAAGACAATAGTGATTATAATTTTCATTCATAGAACCTTTTATTCAAGTAAGTTACTGAAAAAAAGCAATTTTGCTCATCTTCAGAATAACCTTCAGGGTAATGAAATCTATTACCACCATTACTTTGAAAATAGACAAGAAATACGTAAAAGACATTGAAAATATCAAACTAGATCACCAAATGGTAGCATTAACCATTTGGAAACCGTTATGAATTCTTTGAGGGAAGGCTAAACCGAAGGGTAGAAGCACCCGGGGTAGTTCATTATGACATTGTAGTACTAACTAGTCCTATTCTGTCGTCTTTTCCTTTTCTTACTTTCACTCTAGCTCCCTCCCAAGTTCTCATTTGTCTCTTTTTTTCTTGTCAACTGAACCTGTGCATACCCAGTATCTATTTAATATCAGTAACACTTAAGACCAAAGGAGCTGCTGACTTTTGATCCACTTAATAAATCATATAGTTTTCTCTCTTAATCACTTCACATATTTAAACCTCTAAAAGTAATACATGTATTCAGGAAAAAACCCTCACTACTCCACGTGAGTGATCTTTAGTAATCATGAAGAAATAGAGAATAATCTGAAGTTTTCAACATCAAAATTTACTCGAATCAAAAGCCAAATCAAATAAAAATTAAAACAACCATAACAATAATATAAGCAAATCACCTTCTACTATTTTCAGTTAGCTACAAAATCTTATGTGTAGGATCATAAATTTTCTAGCAGAGTCATTCTGAAATAATTACAGAAGATTCAGATTAGCTACCCACTGCCCTCCTCTCCCAATAATGGCACCACCACAAAGCATCTTTATTGAGAAGTCAAAGTTTAAGGAACCTCCTTCTCAACAGTTTGGGTACGTTACTGCCTGAAGCTAGCACTCTGCATCAGGTGCACTCCTGGACCATGATTTATCCATAGCATCTGATAAATGGAAAACGAATGAAATTAAGGATCACCAACTGTAAGAAATACCACCCGGGCACTTACCAGAAAGATGGTAAAGGGGGTGAGATGGTGGTGGCAGAAAGCAGGAAACCAAAACCCCAGTGAGGGTTAGATTTGGATACTCTAAACTTAATAATCTTGCAGCTGCCAAATTTCTTCATGTGTGAACAATGAACATGTAGGAAATGCAATCATCAGACATTTCCCATAAACTGGGAAGTTTGGCTGCATTTCACACCTTCTTAATAGTTTTGTAAACAGAGAACTTGAAAATGAGCAAAGATGGCAAGTGTCTAATTTTATAAATGGACAAACTATCTAGAGAATTTTCCCCAGTAGAACCTGCCTAAAGAGAAAAGATGGTGTATAACTATTGTATCTACTGATTATTAGAGGATACTTATTTACAACACATCACTAGGAAATACATTTATGACTCATAAAACAGAAAGAAAAATAAAAGTTAATAACACTCCAAATCTAGAATCCCCTAGACAGAGAATATGTTCATTTTCAGAGTCATATGTCACTCCTATTATTCTCAGCTAGTTAAAAAAAAAATTCCTAACTGGGAAACTGCTTCTCTCGGTATCTCAATGTTTTACATACAAAAATCCTGGCAACATACAAAAAGTTTGTCTTTCTAAATTACTTTTACAAATCATGACACTATACCTTACCAACATGAAAACATATTAGATGAATGGAACAATTCACATTAAGTTTGTACTCTATACTCATTCAGCGTTAGTTGTTCTATGCACATGCCAATGACAGCACTTCACAGTACTAGAAAGAGGTAAGAGTTGGAATTTGTCTCAAAATACCAATCCATGTACAAAATAGTTATTACAGAATATTTTGGAGTACTGCAAATATCAAAGATGGCAGATAGGCAAAGATGAAAGTCAAAAAGCATTTAAAGCATTGATCTTATTTGAAAGGTTAAATAGAGTCTAAAAAACTCTAACTCAATTTTTTAAATCTTTTACATCATTTAACCACTTTACCAATTAGTTTTTCCATTTCCAATAATTAAAAGAGAGAGTTCACAAACTCTTTGAGAAGTGCAGATGGTAAAAAGTACTCCCAGCCATAGATGCCATCTGGAAAATGAGGAGCAGCTGTAGATTTAGGCATACACTAAGGTTGCAAACCTCAATGACAAAAGGGTAAGCACATCTCTTACATTTTAAGATAGACCAGATCAGATCAGATCAGATCATCAAACCCCTAAATATTTTCTCCACCTACCTAAGATACCTATAACCTCATCTGCCATCTGGGCAAGACTAGTTTGTCTTCATTCATAGTTCTAATCTGGCTAGTCACCAGCAAAAATTAAGAAATGGTAGCAGCAGAAACAAATGAAATTCAGGCACAGGCAGTGTCCTCACTAGGCAAACTTCTGTGTTTATGGCAACTCTGTGATTTGGCATCAAATTTTGCTTTTGCATTCGTGCTCTTCGGTTTACTCAACCAACAAAAAAGCACTGAAAATGTTTGTGGCTATTCACACTAGAAACGTTTTTAACAGTTTATCAACAAAGACCCCCAGATGGCTATCCCATCATGCACGGTCTGCACAGTTCTAAGAAATTCCTGGAATTTGGTCTACATTATCATAATCCCCTCAGATGTACCCCCTATCTTAAAGAGGCTTTTACTAAACCCATTAACCTCATTCACTTTTTTCTGGTAATGGTCAAATTTCTCAAATGGAAAACTCTCTCAAATTCTACCATTTTATTTACCCTTTAAAAAACATGGATTGGATCCTTGGCACTTTATTAACACTCTTTTAAGGATCTCCACCAGGTAACTTCCAATGGGCTCAGTTTTCTTGAACTTTCTGAACACCTTTAGAAGTACTCCAATACCTGTTTCCCTTGGGCTTCTCTTTTTCCCTTTGACATGTTAATTTTGTTCACCCTTTAACATGCTATGCTGCCGTTTAAGCACATGCTTTCTAAAATCACCTATATGGTAAATTTTTTCACCGTTAAACAATCTCTGCATAGCTGCTAGTGAATGTCAGGATAATGTATTTTACTTTCTTCTTGGTTTTTATATCAAGTCAATGTACTGACTATCTAACTGAAAATCACAGTATGGGCTATGAGGGTAGAGAATAAGTTTAAAAAGTGGCTTTTATAAAACATACTTGGGAAAGTAAAATTAACAAACACGAAATAATTAGAGAACTGAGAAAGTAGAAGAGGCGTGAGTATGGAGAACAATAAAAGTGGTTTTTTCTACAACCATCAGTAATTAAACATTAACATACACATGCTTTTACAAATATTAATTTACTGAATCCTTGAAAACCCCAGTGAAGTAGTTAAACTACATTTTACATATGAAGTAATTAGGCACTATGTCCTTGGGGGAACTACAAGTTAATCCCAGCAATACTTCCACTTTAAAAAGATTTTTCTAACTCTTCTTTTGGAATAGCTTATAACACTCCAGTACATTCTATGCATGTCCTCTACAGTAGAAATTTCATCGTTTTACATATTCAGTAATCACTGTGAAGTACTCACTATGAGTAAGACAGTTCCTGCTCTTCATTGAGCTCGCATTTGGGCTTTACTTGCCTGTAAATCTCAAATTATAATGCAGTATGAAACATACAAAAAAGGAGTGTGCACAAAGAATGATGGGGTCACTACAACCATATAGCCTATAAGCAATGAAACTGTGATTTAAACACAGTCCTATCTCTCTCCAAAGACCTGGAAGTAACATTCATAGCAATTTGGGAAATCATTACTTTTTAGTGACACATCCTGAATAATAAAGCCAAAGACATGATTTATTAAGTAGCCCTGAACAGCATAAATTCTTCCTAAAAATCTTATAGGGAATTCAATTTTAAAATTTAATTACATGAAATAGAGATATAAAATAAAGACCATATGTGTACAGGCGTGAGTGTATTTGCATACAAGTGTGTGTGTGTTTAATAGAAATTGTAGTTCAGTTTGTTGAAAAAAATTTCTACGGCAGAGTCTACTTGTTGCCTATCCACTATACATCTTCCTTTTCTTCTTTTGTAATATAATCCTGATTTTATTAAAGGCAACAATGCTCCTAGGTAAAAGACTACATTATATAGCCTTTCTCAAAGCAAGGTGTGTCCACCTGACTAAGTTCTGCCAATGAGTTATAATCAGAAGTGCTGGATGGGACTTAACAGAAAGGATCCTGTAAGGGAACTGATTTAGCTGGGAAGCATCCCCTTTTTGCCCTTCCTTTTTTTTTTCCTGTTGCCTGGAACTCAGATGAGATGGCTAAAGCTCTACTAATCACCCTGAATCATGAGGAGATCTAAAGGACAGAAGCCAATACAAAGAAAGTGGAGCAAAAGGTAGAAGAAATCTGGGTCTGCAATGACTTTAAAGTTTCAAACTGGCTTTGAATTCCAAGAGACATACATTTCTATCTTGTTTAAGCCACTGTTACTTTTAAGTTAACACAATCTTAGATATAAATAACACTTGCTTAGTGCAAAAACTGAAAATAATTCAGGATTTACATAAAGTATGTAATTCTCTACCTTTCAACCTTAGAGGTAACACTGTTAACAACACAGTATTTTGAAATACATGTGAGATGGAGAGGTATCTTTGAAAAAGGGAGGGAAGGTAACACAGTAGGGACTTTTCACGTTGTTATACAGTTTAATTTTTTACACATAACAGAAGGTTGTAAACATTTCTCTAAGTTGGTACTTGTAGAATTTTATTCTTCATAACAAACCTTAAACGAAAACAGTTTGGGGGCTAGCCCTGTAGCATACTGGTTAAGTTCACGTGCTCTGCTTTGGTGGCCTGGGTCAAGGGTTTGGATCCAGGGCATAGACCTGCACCACTCATCAGCCATGCTGTGGTGGCAACCGCATACAAAATTGAGGAGGACTGACACAGATGTTAGCTTAGGGCGAATCTTCCTCAAGCAAAAAGAGGAAGACTAGCAACAGATCTTACTTAGCTCAGGGTAAATCTACCTCAACAAAATAAGAAAAAAGGTTGGTTTAAAGAGTTACATGCATTTAAAATTGAAAGATAAAATTGAAACATGGCCTCCGAAAATGTTATATCACTTTATTTTCCCACCAGCGGTGCATTTTCCCAAACCATTTTTTTAATTTGAAAAGAAAAAAAAATTTCTACTTATAACTTTTTTTCTTTGACTACTTAATAAGGTTGAGCTTTTTTCCTGTTTATACCATTTGTCTTCAGTGTGCTTTATAGCTCTTTTGTCCAATTTATTATTGTTTTCAAAAACTATTTTATAGAAATCCTTTGGATATTATGCATTTTTTGGATACTAGTGCTTTCTGTATTATAGGTACAAATATTTTCTCCCAGTCTGACTCCTAAAAAGCATTCAATAAATGTTAGTTTTAATTTTTACTCCAGATAAAGTTTACTGTCAAGTTACCAAAATTTTAAAACTCCAATGATATTCTTACTAGAATGAAAGTAATCTTTGGAAAGCTCGACGGCAGCTTTACAATATTGAGTCCTCTCATTTGGAAACAAGGGAATTTATTCACAAACTTTTTTAGTATTATTCAACTAAGTCATATACATTTATATTTCTTATGGTAATTGTTCCTAAGTATTTTATAATTTTGGATGCTACTATGAAGTGATTTGCCTATTTTATTTTTTAACTGGTTTTAGCCCATGTAACTGCATGGTTACCACCTACATAATTCTTGATTATAACAGTTTTCTAGTTTAATCTCTTGGATTTCTATGATTGCAAACACATCCTATCATAGTTAAATGGTGATAATCTGGCCTGGTTTTCTCAATATTTATACCTTATTTTGTTTTTCTTATCTTATTGCACTATCGCAAAACAAGATTTTCCTATTTAATATAGCTACCACAATAAACCAAATGTAATCATACAATTACATATTTTATACGTAATCATATACAAGATATACCCAATCTTTCTTTCAGGTTACTAAGTAGACAATATTTCTACCTGAAAAGTAAATTGTAAGATCTCAGAATTTATAGGACTATGTGTTTAAAAACAAGGCAAAACTTTGTTTCCATGCTATTCTTAAAATGCTCTTTTGCAATTCATTTTTCACTTGCACTTTCATTTACAAATATCCAATCAAATCTTATCAATATTTTAAAAAATAGATGCATCTTGGAATGAATAAATTAGGAGATCTGTAGTAACAGAGTTGTGGGTGTTGAAGTTCAGTAATTAGAGAAATCAAGGACTAATAATCAAGCAGAATCTTCGTATGGAATTCAAACTTGAAGTCCAAAAGTTGGGACAAAGGAATTTAATTATTTTCTAATCTTCTTTTACTTTAGGAGCTAACTGGCACTAACAGTAATTACCTTAGTTTAAAACATCAACCAATTAAAAAGAATACTATGAAGAACTGGTAGCATGGGCCTTTCTTTTTATATTTTAAGTGTTACTAAAAACTCCACCGCATTTTCTTTCAATCACAGAGGGAATTACATTCCCAAATTTGGACTCCTTCATATCACAGCTTACACATTGTTTTCATTTTATAACCAAATCTTACAAGTTTTTGAGTACTACAGAGATTTTTTAAAACTGTAAAATAGGAAAAACTTCTGTGGATGGGCAGCAGTAACCATAAATAGGTTATTTCCTGGCAGTGGTACCAATATGAATTTACTTAAACTTGTAATGTTACAGAGAAATGAAAGCCATTCCCTACAGTCTGCTGAATAACAACTTAAGTCATAACTTTTTAATTTATAAAAGGTTAACTCTTTTAAGTATGATAAACTAATTCTTTCTCTTTAATCTTCAAGCATGAAAACATTAAATAATAGAAAGAAATATTTTCCCTACAATCTAGAACCAATGGGGATTTCCAGCTGGAATACATATATATTAGGGCATGCTCTTCAAAGCCAAACCTAATTTTGCTGGAATTTAGTTTGTATGTTTTTTTCAAAGCTCAATTCTCTCAAGACTTGTAGCTGCACTTGGTAAATTTTATACACTGTCTCTTGGCAAATATCCATTTTGGTAAGATGTTTTTAATTTAAAAAGAGAAATATTACTTTTTGGTGTGACAACCAATATTAAGTTTAACTCTCTCCAAAATCTTCAGCTCTAGCCCCTACCGTTAATTTTTAGTCCCACATTTCTAACTGCTTGTTTAAAACAGACTTCTATCTCCTTTCCTAATCCTTCTACTTCTACCTAAACTGAAAATGTTAACGGTACCAACATACTTCTAGTCACCTAGGCAGGAAACCTTGAATTTTTCTTTGATTCCTCCCTCTTCTTTCACTTCATCTATCCAACTGGTGCCATGTTTTATTTGTCTATCGATGCATTCCTTCCCACTGCCACTAGAGTAATCCAGACACTTAGTACCTTTTGTTTCGGTAATAGCAAGCTCTTCCTAAACAGAATCTCCATTTCAAATTTCCTCTTATAGCACATTCTATACTGTTGTCAAATTATGTTTCTAAAGTTAGGTTCTGGGTAGATCATGCCCCTGATCAAAAAATAACTCTATCTTCATATTCCAAACTCTGTTATTTCAATATTTTTAAAAAACCTTATTCCTCACTATTCGTCCTCATGTATTAGTACTCTAGCCAGTTTCCTAAACATGTTTTTGACTTTTCTGTCTCCTAGTTTCTGCCCATGATGTTTATTTTGCCTAGAGTAACATTTCTCTGTATGTGCAAATCTTATTCATGCTTTAAGGTCAAGTTCAAATGTCTTTATACTCTAAGATAGCATCCTATGTCTCTTGCAGCTGAAAGCAAGGGCCTCTGAACTTCTACAGGACTGCACGTGGACTTCTCCATGGCAGTGTTCTCTAACTTCTAACTTGAATGAGTACATAAATCTCCTAGAAGTCTTCTTAAAATGTAGATTCTGATTCAGTAGGTCTGAGAGCCTGCATTTCTAACAAGATTCCAGGTGATACTAATGCAGCTGGTGTGTGGACAATTTGAATACTAAGTTGTCATGGAACTCACCAATTTTGCCTGTACTCTGATTATTTATGAACTTTTCTTACTGTCCCTGTTCTCCTATAAATGAAGGAAGGATCCATGTTTTCCACTGAAACAGGAGATATTTGATAAATATTTGCAAACATAACATTGTATAAGGTGTATATATGTTTTACAAATTGCAGGTTTTCAACTCATTAATGGGTTGCAAGCTATATATATATGTGTGTATAATATGTATATAATTGAAACAATGAAATTGAGTCAAATGAGAAAGAAAGTAGAATATATCACATGTAATAAGAGTAAATATTGTTTCATAAAACTTGTTGCAATCATATATACACATAAATATACGTTTGCATGCACCGGGTCAAAATGTAAAATCTATTCTTTATGTCGGTTTTGGCCAAAAAACTCAGAAAATACATGCTATGGGTTGAATCACATCCCCCCAAAAAGATATGTTGAAATCCTAACCCTGGTTAGAGATTAGAGTTATGCTGCCACAAGCCAAAGAATGCTGGGACCAACGGAAGCTAGAAAAGGAAAAGAAAGACCCTCCACTAGAGGCTTTAGAAAGAGCAAGGCCCTGCCAATACCTTGATGTCAAACTCCTGGCCTCCAGAATTGTGAGAGACTAAAGTTGCTGTTTTAAGACACCTAGTTTATGGCAATTTGTTATGGCAGCCCTAGGAAACTAACACAACACAGAAGATACAATTTAGTCACAGCTCAAGTTTTTTCTTAATTTCAGAATTGTAAAAGAATATAAATCTATGAACAAAAACAGTACCATGGCCATATATATTTTAGCACACAATAAACATTTTCAGGAGATTCTGCTAAATATAACTTATTTAACATCTTCATATAAAATGGTCTCTCCTAGTTACTCTTCTTTACATCATCCTTTTTATTTTCTTCATAGCACTAATCATAATGTATTATGTTGTGTTTATTTGTTTACTTTCTGTTTCCCTACCAAAAAATAAGTTCTGTGAGGACAGGTCTTGCTTCTTACCAAACACCCAGTGCCTGACACATAGTAGGTTTTCAACAAACACTTATTAAATGAAAAACAGAAAAGTTCATAAAATAAATGATACATAGCAAGTATTAAATGCTATTGTTGTTGTCTACATCCCCTTGTTCCCCTTCTCTTCTAATAAAAACTCCTCTGAATAATGAAGAGGTTACAAACGTAACACTATTTTACATGGTCTACAACAGGGGTTGGCAAAGTATATCCCACAGGCAAATCTAGCCAGCTGCCTGTTTTAGTAAACAAAGTTTTACTAGAACACAGCTTCACTCATCTTCACTCATTCCTTTACATACCGTCTGTGGCTGCTTTTACACTACAATGGCAGAGTTGAGTAGTTTCAACAGACTGAATGGCCTGCAAAGCGTAAAATATTTATTCTCTGATCTAAAAAATAGTCATTCTCTTTTCAACTATTTATATTTATACAATGCTTGACATCTAATCATACATATTCCAATGATTATAAGAAATAAATTTTGGAAATAACTTTTACCTTATTGTAATTCTTGGCTAATTCCAACATCTCTTTTACCACTGATTCATTGTGTTTACAGTGTTCACTGTAGTCCTGAAGTGTCAGACCTTCCATCCAACTCTTCTTATGCAAATTTAGCAACATCTAAAAAAGATAAAGTAATTATTTTCCTGTATTAAGGATATTTCCTTCACTTGTCTTGAGAAACAACTTCACAAAAAACTTTTGGAATTAATGAATTTAAATTTAATTTTATTAACTTAAACTCTAATAAGAATTCTCTTAAATTTATATTAATATAACCTAAGAAGTACTCCAACCCCATGGCCTTTGCATTTGCTGTCCTTCTGCCTCCAAGGCTATTTTCCTTATCTTTGCATGGATACCATCCTCACTTCCTTAGAGATAGATGCCTTCCGTCACCACACTACATAGAAAAGCCACTCACACTATCTTAAACATACTTGTTTTATTTTTACAAAATAACCTGTTTTATTTTTATAACACTATCAACACCTGAAACTTTTGTTTTCTTTGCATTTCTTTCTATTACAGAAATCAACAGGGCAAGGAGTTTGCCCAGTTTATTTCAAGATCACCAGGGTCTAGATTCTAGAACAATATCTAATCATAGCAGACACTCAATAAATATCTGTTGAATGAATGAATTAATGAAACTATCATGCTACACAGAATCTCTAATAGTTCATATAGCCCAGCTTTCAAATGCCAAGATAGGGAGGTAAATGCCCCATTTACTGAATGACTTTGTGTCAATCTTTCTAAGCCTCAGTTTACATATCTATGAATTGAGAGCTTATACTAGAGAATCTATGTTTCTTTCAAATTCTAATATTCCATTTATAATCCAAAAAATTAAAACTTTTTGACTGTCAGAATGAAAAGTCATGAAACTGGGAAGGAAATAACAGATTCATCCAGTTTGCAATCACATTGGCAAATTGGGATCAGACTCTATTAATGATCATGGAACTAAACACCTTAGTTCATTGTTTCTCAAATTGGACTCCTGGTTCTGAGTACGTATTCTTGGAAGTTCCTAAGTTTTCAAGTTTAGAGTATTGTATTAAGACGGTTTTCTTAAAGTCTTAGTCTACAAATGTTCTTCAGTTGAAGACTATCACTGAACAAGAAGAGCTTTTTAAATAAGTGATAAGATTATGCAATATGAAACAAATGGTGGCTACAGAATGACTGTTCTTTCACTCTTAGAACCAATATACTTTAAGTGAGATCCGTGAGCCATGAGGATCTGAAGACATACTCGAAAGTATATGAGTTTAGCTTAAAAAAATTACTCTACTTGTTTAGAGGTTTGCAGCTATATGCAGTACAAAGTTTTTCTTATGCTGAGGAATAAGCTGCATGTCAAAATCACCTATGAGACTTTTCAAGACATAAAACTTTCAAATTTCCCCATTCCCCTTTTAGGGCCCATGGGGGCAAGAGTAGCTTGCAAAAAAACTGGAAAAATCCTGCACAAGTACCTCCAATTTCTCTGACTGCTTCCCATCTTCTCTATTCATAGTGTTCTAGAAAATATATCCTTGAGAAATTCTGGTGCAGCTACAACCACCTATGCCATAAAGCTACCTATAATTAAGTGTTGAGAATTGGATTTTCCTACCACTTCAAAAGCAAACAAAGAAAGTTTGTGCAGAGCAGCAGGCTATCCCTACCATGCCTGGACAAGGATTCCACTGGGACCCTCAGGTAAGGCTTGGGGTTAAGTATATAGATTGGCGGAAAAAGAATAAAGGCAGTGCTTTTGGTACCAAGAAAGCACCTGAACTGAGCTACTAGGAACATAAATATAACATTAATTAATTTATGTAAGTATTTATATTGTGTGTCTTTTATGCTAAGGATGGTGACCAAGTTCATGGGGTACCAAAAAAGGGAAAAAAATAAGGGAGGGAAAAAATAAGGGAGCTAATTACATCAACATGTAATTAGCTGGATATTTCCAAATAACTGAGTGTCAGATATCAGACTGATAAAATATTTATATATCTGAGTGAATTTTTCAGTTTGTATCTGAGTGGTGCCCTTTTTCGAAGCCTATACCTATTGTATGTAAAATTAAAATAAGTGTTGAAAATGTACTTCAAGCTATCAACTATATCTACCACGGCAGATATAAACTTTGTGACACAAGCAAGCAGCTAGAAGAGAGCTTTACGGCTCTGTGTCTCCCCTCAGGCCAAGGAAGAACTGATGCCCTGCAGCTCATCACCATGCTCAAGCACCTAGAACCTTTGGGTGAATTTATCGGTGGCTTTGACCTTTCAAAAACAGTGGCTTAGCAAACTCAAAAAAACCCCAGCCTTCTTCTTTCAAAGAAAATCTTATAAAGCATCCTCCCCCCACAATAGATAAATGAGATTAAAAATGGAGGTGATCTGGTTGAAAGAGGGGATAATATGGAAAGCCCCACTTACTCTACCCCCCACTCACCATATGCACTAGAATCCCCTTCTAAGGTATCGTTGTGAGGAACTAGCAAGAAAAGTCTTATTTCCTATTGGTTACTTATCATGTTTGGACTTGAGAGTACACACAGGAACCAAAATTTACTGGCTGTCAGAGTTCTTAAAAATTTTTTTTAAGTCCTTCACAGAAAGAAATATAAGAAGCTAATTAGGAATGTGACTAATTATAATAGTAAAGAAAAAAAGCCAGTTCATATTGTAATTTAAAAAAGTAATAGGGAAACTTAAATATTTGGCATTGGTTAAGAGAAAAACTGTACTTGAAATAATCCTAAAACAAGAAAAACAAGAGAGTGCTAATCAACCAAGATGCTAGGTAATCTTAAAAGTAATCAAATTCAAAAACTTCCTGGTATAAAAAAGGATAGGAATCTAGCTCTAAATATCTGAAAACCCTAAACTGCATTTTCCTTTTGACTCACTTTTAGTTCACCCTAGGTAAACATGGTACATTTTTTTAAAGTACTACACAATTACAATCTAATTTATTTCTTTCAAATTCGGAAAGCTATTTATTTAGTAATTTAATTACAAAAGGTCCTTTTACTCGAAAAGATAAGTTAATCAGGAAAATCACAGAATTAGGAGAAAGATTTTTGTAATTTATCATAAAACCAAACTGGAATGTTCGTTTCCTATTTCCTCTCCTGCTTTAGCACCTACCTATAAGGCACAATGTCTTTCAATATGTCACATAAAATATTCCTTTATTTTATGCTGCAATTCATCAGGAATGAAAAAATATTTGAACACATCAATGAAAAAGGTCAACAATTCAAATTCAAATATACCAGGTAACAGTTTAAATGGTTTAAAAGACTCTTTCCTAAGACTCTAAGATAAAAATTCAAACTTACCTTCTGTTCCAGTTCATTTTTCCGATAGTTAATAGTAATGGAGTAATAATGTCTGTTTAGTCCATGAATTAATGCCTATATAGATAAATTAGCAAAAGGTCAAATTAATATTTTTCATCTAATAAACTGTTTGAAACTACTGACATATCCTGTAGACAATATCTTTACCGTCTTCTAAAAAAAGCTTTTTATTCTAAATAAAGATTAAAATTTTTTTTCTCAGCTACAAATTTAGAAGTGGGCTTTAGAGGTATGGGTCACACATTCTTCAAAGCATGACACAGAGCAGCAAGCATTCAACAGTTTCAGTACCCTTGCTCAGAGTCAGAGACAGGGTTTGACCTCATCATAATCCAAATTATAAATTATTCATAATTTATAAATAATACATAATTTATTAAGTCTGATTTTTTTTTTTGAGGAAGATTAGCCCTGAGCCAACATCTGCTGCAATCCTCCTCTTTTTTGCTGGGGAAGACTGGCCCTGAGCTAACATCCATGCCCATCTTCTTCTACTTATATGTGGGACGCCTCCCACAGCATGGCTTGCCAAGCAGTGTGTAGGTCCGCACCCAACATCTGAACTGATGAACCCCAGGCCGCCAAAGCAGAACGTGCAAACTTACAGGCTGCACCACCAGGCCGGCCCCTATTAAGTCTGATTTTATCATATCTAGGGGGTTCTTTGTTATTTCAAACGAAAAGCCTAAAAAGTCACAACAATACACTTATTTCCTCACCCACAACATTCATCTGGGGTTTCTCTTTTTCTTAATTCAGTTCTAACAGATTCAAATAATTGTGTCTGTGCATGTCTCCAAACTAAAAAGTGGAGTTTGTTCTTTACTCAGTTTATTTAGCTTACACTCTTATCCAGTGACAGGCAATCTCTCTAATCAGAATTTTTTCCACTGCACTTGATCTCCAAGACAAAGAGCCAAATCATAATAAAAATTTAAGCTAATGGCATGATTTATTAAGAAAGGATAACCCTGCATGTGCTGTAATCCATTCACAACTGCTCAGGGGCCAGCTCTGTGGCCGAGTGGTTAAGTTCGCGCACTCCACTGCGGGGCCCAGGGTTCGGATTCTGGGCACGGACATGGCACTGCTCGTCAGGCCATGTTGAGGTGGCGTCCCACATCCCACAACTAGAAGGACCTGCAACTAAGATATACAACTCTGTACGGGGGGGGTTTGGGGGAGATAAAGCAGAAAAAACAACAACAAAAAAGATTGGCAACAGTTGTTAGCCCAGGTGCCAACCCTTAAAAAAAAAAAAGGAAGATTGGCAAGAGTTGTTAGCCCAGGTGCCAATCTTTAAAAAAAAAAAACTGCTCAAATACCTAACTCTAACAACAGAGGTTCAAATGAGGTACAGAACAGTATTCTGGGGGAGCTTCTATCAGCCTAGTAAGACATGAAAGTACCGAAATAACCTTGGACATATCTTCAACAAGTATAAAAACAAAAAGGGCTTTGAGGTTAACTCTCAGGAATCTAAAGATAAAGCTAACCAAAACCACCACCATACTCTCTAATTATTGGATTTTACAGTGCAGGTCTTAGGGTGTTGAGGTAGAAGAAGGGGTGGAAAGGAAACATTTAATGAGCACCTAGCATCTGTTTACATATTAAGTCTTCTAATCTTCACAACAACTCAGTAAGGTAAGCTGGTTCCATCTGTATTTTGACAAATGAAGAAAATAAGACACAAATCTTACTTTGTCCCAGTTTACAGCTAGTAAGAGTCAAAGCTGGGAATTGAACCCAAGTTTTCTGACTCAAAAGCCCATGTTTTTTTCTATCATACAATGCTACATTGTATCTTAGGAAATTCTTGTATTAAGTTTTGTGCTTTAAGGATAAGGATGAAAACAAAGCATAGTCCTAAAGTTTGCTAGCAAAAATCACTCTACCAAGTACTAAAACATTTTAGAAATGTACTGCAACAATCCATTCTTATATTCTTAATATATGCTATGATAAAATGGTTGGTATGCAAAATTAAAGTACTAAGAGTACCTATTAAATTCTTATCCATTTCAATAATCATCAGCAGCAGTGAATTCAATTTCAGTGCACAGAAGTGCTGTATCGTGTAGATCAAAAAGTGAAATTAATCAGGGTCTCTTTTAATCTATACTCACCTTATGCAAATTAGGAAGAGCATCCTCTGGGTGGAAAAATTAGAAAAAGGTGCCCAGTTCTCCAACCAGATACAGCCTGGCTGGAGAGCGGAGCTTAGGCTAGATTTCAGGTTTCAATTGCCCCTCATCCAAACACCTTTGTGCAATGCCCTAACTATATAATTCTACATAGTGGCCATAAAGCTACTGACAGCTATGGTCAATGAATACAGAAGTCAGCCAATGGGCCCACAGGTCCACATTTTGGAGATTAACGGTACTGCTCAAATATACAGTTTGGTATTTGAAGGCACTACCTATTTGATTTTCAATTACATTATTTAGATAAAAGTAGTAAAACTAATAACAAGCAGCATGAAAGATTAGCAAGTATAATGATACAATACATAATAGTTTAAATCAAATTATACCCTCAAGCAGTGTTCTAATTTCACTTACTCAACTGCTGTGTACCCCCAGTGCATTCATCCCAAATCATAAGTAAACTGCCCATGTGCAGTCTCCTGCCACATAAGCCCAAAAAGCACACACTCTTTTAACTCAGTGAATAATAAATTCTCTCAAATTAACCAATCTAGTTGACAGTGAATTACAAATTGTGGGAGTATACACCAAATATAAGATTAGTTTTATCAAGCAGAGACTTCATTCAAATTGCAAATTAAACATAATATGCAATTTGATGCATTAAACTTAACTTTTTAATTTACACTTAAACATATGATGGGTTTTGGAAAATTTAGGCAATTCTTCACTAAAACAAGCTATGTTCCTGATGCTCATTTGTTAACTGGCTATTTGAAACCTGCAACAATTTCTCATAGTAACATTGTTGTAAAGCATGGTTCCATTCTATAGTTTTATATACTGTGAGCTAAATAAGCTTTCCGGGGCTGACCTGGGAAGCTAGCCACGTTTTACAGCATTGTTTCTAGAACAATACATCTTGGATTTACTAACAGCACTTAAATTATTTGCTTCTTGGAAATCCTGACCCTTTTTTTCTTCGGTCAAAGCCTGCCAACCTTTCAAAGAAGGAAGTTCTGCCTACGTTGGTGCTCAGTGTCAATCTAAGATGCTATCTAATCCAAAGAATGGGTTAGAGGAGGAATTTAGACAAGGGGAGTCTGGAGATCCCAGTGATTAACTTCCAGGTTATTTCTATGCTCCTTTAGTTAATCTTTAGAGTAAATCTGTTGGTATGACAAATTCAAAAGAAGTACACAAATAATTATTACAGTGAAATAAATTTCAATCACCATTTGAATGATTTCTATTTTTGTATTCATTCATTCATGTGAATTATTAAACTTAGGTATTAGAAATGTCTTTCAGAGAATAGGCACCTAATCCCAATGAATGTTCAAGATTGGCTAAACTAGAGCATAAATAATAGTGAGAAGGAAAAGTAATAAACTTAGAACTGCAGTGATGTATGAGTAAAGGTGGTAGTGATGTGGATTAAGGCTGCCCCAGCCAGAGAAGCCCAAGGTGACCTGGCCTACATGCCAAACTATACAACCCAGTGGACTTTTTTTATGGTATGAATTAGGACCGCCCCAGGGAGAGAAGCCCAGGGCACCCTCACCTACATGCCGATCTATATGGCCAGATTCGTATCTAAAGTTGTATGACCGCACAATAACCAGACCCCATCTGCACTGAAATCATTTAATGACTTTTTACATCATCTTTTCTTTTCTCCAGTAAAAATAAGTCACATACCCATGCGTTATAAAATTAGCCCTAACCCTCAACTTGGGGCAGCAGCAGGAGCTCTGACCACCCGTGGGTCCTGTCCCCACGTACCAGCTCTGCCTGCCCATGGGTCCTGTCCCCATGCCAGCGGGGGCAGCAGCAGCTGCTCTGCCTGCCCATGGGCCCTGTCCCCATGCCAGCGGGGGCAGCAGAAGCGGCGCCAGCAGAAGCTCTGACTGCCCATGGGTCCTGTCCCCATGCTATTCCACACTATTCTCTAAATAAAAGAGCACTACTGCCAGATCTTGAGAGTCTAAGAAATCTTTCTTTTGACTCCTCGGCTCACCGACCCCGCATCAGTAGGAACTACAGAATAAAAATACAGACAGTTTATGAGAGGTGGTCAGCAACCAGGTTGGATGGAACTGTGTAGACCCATATTTTATGTAGAGGGATTGCTGAGAACAGTTCCTAAAATAAGATCCTCTACTTAAATGGCTTCCTACAGAATGACCATGTCAGATAATTAAAAGCAACTAAAACCCACCCTAATCATACTTCATTGACATTGCCCAGACTACTGAGAAGAGGTTAGAAGTTAAACCTCCATACACTCACTGCTGTGGAAAAGCAAGTAAATTATAAAACACACAGCTTATGACCTAAATAATAACCTATTTATAGGTTCTCAGTAGGTTAAAAAAAGTAAACCATGTTGGTTTAGATCTAAAGATAAATTTGTTTGCCTTAAATTATTTTACATTGATAAACTGAACATGTGGTGCTAAATAATCTCCACTGAATCATATTTTAAAATGAAGCTTTCTTTATATAAATAAAATAACTCTGCAAAGAACCAAAACACACGTTTTGTCATTCCCTCTAGAGGGGAGAACTGGGTTACAGAAGGCAAAATGAGAAGAGAGAATTTTTGCTAAATGTTTTTTTTGTACCTTTTCAATTTTGAACTGTATACATATAACATCTATGCCAGAATTAATTAATTAATTAAACTTCCAAAGCATAGTATAAAAGAATGAGGAGCCCTGGTTATGAAGACCAGTTCCTACATTAACTCACTGGGTAGCCTGGGCAAATCACCAACTTTCTGGGCTTCAGTTTCCTCACCTACCAAATGAGCAAAATGGTTCCTTCTAGTGCAAGTGTTTTATAACTGTTTAAGAACTACTGAAAACAACGTTTTTCAAATAGCTTAACTCTGTTAGACAATGCAGTTATACTCAGGGCTACACTTAGAGGCTCACAGCCCTAGCACAATGCATCTATGCAGCATCAACATTTACTAAATTTCCATGTGATTGACGACCAATCTTGACATATACTGTGGCTCTTAAGGATCTGAAATGCTGAACAGTTTTTAGTGGAATAGTTTAAGAGTTTTAGTTACTAAAATAAATGCTTGTTAACTCTCAATTCTATACATTTGATGATAATGGTTAAATGTTTTAAGCACAAAATAATAGTCATATATTAATATAAAAGTCTATACAGTATAGGCATTATACTTTTCCTTCTCTACCAGGACTATGAACAGCTTCTCTTCTTTAAAACATGAAAGTTAATATAAACTTTGTTTATTAGCTTTGTCTTGTAATATATACTTCAACATTATTAGCGCTTTAAAAATAACATTTTCCAAAAGCAGTATGTTTCACTGTAGAAAGTTTAAGAAATATGGAGAAGCAAGAACAAGAAAAAAATTCCATAATCCTACTGCCCAAAAGTATTCAATACTAACATGTTGGTGTAAATATATAGGCACAGTTTATAAAACAGATATTTGCAAAGAGGAGAACTTGTATATCCTATTTTATAATTTTTCTTACTTAGCATATTAACTTTCCTCAAATTATTAAATAGTAGTCTACAATATAATCATAATTTTTCCCACTACTTTAAGTATAATAGTAAAAAAATCAGTGTTAGAAAAGCATTAGTGACCACCAGCATGAGTGCTGATGGTTGCTGTCAGGTTTCTATCCCTATCACTTTAAAGTTGGTTTAGAAGCAAGGCCCCTCTTAACGCGGACTAATTTCCCTTCAAAATAAAAGGCATGGCCTTTCTGAAAGGCTTCTGATCCCCAAGTTAAAGATTCTCCCAACATATACTAAAATTCCATTATGGATATTACCATTCATTTCAGGTTCTTCTGGGCTGCTTTCTTTCTAGCTTGTCTTAGAAAACTAAGAAACTGTTTTAAGGTGTGGCTTTGTTCTGTCACTTTTTGGCTTGATCTCATTTGAGCGTTTTAGTATTGAAATTGTCTTAAAACTGTAAAGCACCCAGATAGATGTCATTCTGATGGGCGCTATATAAACTGTGAAATAAATATATTTACAGATTTTAATTGGAAGGGAAAACAAATTAAAATGAAAGGAAAAACAACGATGCTGTAAGCTGTTACATACACAGGTTCTTATAACTTAGGTTTGGAACCTCCTGCATAAGGTCCATCTTAAATTACAGACTACAAGGTAAGAGTGATAAATACAAACTGGTATAGCGTAGAAAGAAAAAGATTTTAATATTGATTATACTCAATTTTTAAGGTTAAAAAGCAGTGTTTAAATTTAAAAGATGAAATCTGCAACAGGTGGCTGTTGACTTATAATTAGTAAAAACTTGTCAGAAATGTACCATGCAGTGATCAAAATGATCCTGGATTGTGAGATGCTACTTAACCTTTTGCAAAAAAATAATGAAGTGGTATGATGCTAAGGGGGTTTATAAGAAGGGTCATTATCACAGACTAAACAGGTCCAATAATACATCCTCTTGGAACATGCAAGCATGGGCTTGTCTGTACCCAATCAAAAACACTGGTAGCTTATTTCATACTCATTATGCTTTGCAGTTTTCCCTGACTTGTAAAAAAATTTTTTTCAAAGGCAACACACCTCAGTCCTTTGAAACAAAACATTTCACTTTGATGAAGATTTCAGATGACTGACTGCTACAAAAGTAAGCCCTAAAAGTATAAAGTTATCAAAGTGTAACCAAGGCTTAACCATAGTTAACTGTCAAAGCCACAACTCCCAAAAGACATTCATACGCCAGAGCACGTTTCAGAAAGGGAGCAGCAATCGTTACTACAATGTCTTCGTCCTATGTGTTCTATTTAGCTAAACATGGTATTTCTGTGCTTTTAATTAATCTTCAGAGAAGCAATTAACAATATAGACACAGGTTATGGTGCATTTAAAAACACATTTAAAATAATTTTTGCAGACAATAAAGATTTGTGTAAAAACAATGAGGCATGTGAATGATACAAAGAAAACATTAATCACTCAGGAGGATATTAAGCGTCTGACTAAATATAATAATGGTGGTTGACACCACTAGAAAGAACAAGATATAAACTCTAATCAAAAGTAACATATAGATGTATTTTGTAAGATTTGTTTTAAAAGTACAGATTAAACAAAAAAAGGTAGAAAATTTTAAGTACTTTTTAGGAATTGTTTCTGGGGACCCCCATTATTTACTGCTATGAGAAATGTCTACTAAGCCATCACTGATACTTAATGAAGTCCACCTGAAACACCTATCAGTCCTTTACTTCAATGTTAACCACACAAAGCTGTAAGGTACTCTCAAGACAAGGGCTCTCCTATGCTTTCATAAAGGGTGTCCTCAAACTATCTTAGGAAAGTTTAAAGACTCCACTAAAAACTGACTCATCTATGAGCAAATCTAACTTTCCAACAATATCTCCATAGTATTCTTTTAAAGCACAAGAAAAATTAATTGCAAACAAATTAAAAAGCTAAGTATTAAATCTTAAAATGGCCCTTTATAACAGGATTTTAAAATGTAAAACAGAGTTTTAACATATTATCAAATACAGGCATTACCTGGATAGATGGCTTGTTTAAGTGACCCAGATTTGAGGTTGTTTGTCTTGGTTCATGTCCTAAGACCATCATATTAGCATTGATCAATCTGAAGGCATCAATAACAACCTGTAAAAAGAAGGTGTCAGGTCAATTCTTTTTTAAAAAGCAAGTGATGATGCCAAGCAACAGTGGACAAGGCATGATCAACTTGCATCTGTTTCTGGCCTATTTCCAGAAAATCATTTAATTATAATATTAATAAAAAGAACCTCCTGCTGACTGTGCCATCAGCACACCACCCTCTATCTTGTAATGTAAGGTGACACCAATTATTCCAATTTTCATGAAGCAGTAAAGAAAAATATTAACTCTGCATCTTTATTATTGAAATACGTCATTACTAAACTTACGCAAAACAGCCTTCATTGGTGTGCATATGTTTGTCACCTAAATTTTACCTAATCAAAATGAATGACAAAGAGAAACTAAAACTGAAAGTGAGCACAAGCTATGGGACCACATCTAGAGCCCAGCCCTGTCACATCAATTATACTACCACAGTACTTGAAATGACAACAAAATTACAACCAGCAAGGCACTTGCTCCACGTATTCTCTTCTAGTCAGATACCTTTTACTTCTTGTGACTAGAAAAGACTTTATACCTTGTCTGATGGCCTTAAATGGCCAAGCCACTGTCGAGTATAGGAGGGACAACACAAGAAAACCAAGGTCATCTGTGCTTTAAGCCAAGAACATGGTATAGAATAATATGGCCCTAAGCTCATAGTAAAGAAATACCAATAGGCATCCTCTTTTTGCTGAGTGTATTCAGTATTTCTGTACAGAAAGACCTCAAATTCTTACATGATACAGTATCATCTGTTAGCTCTTATATATTGAGAGATTTAACAAGAATTACATACATTGTGAAGTTTTATGTAAAGCACAGGGACTTTGAGACAGATGTCTCTTTCAGGGAATTTATATCAATTACCTATAGAATAAACTCAATACATTCATTCCATAAAAAAATCTTAAAGCAGTATAATATAGTATTTCTAGATTTGCCTTTAAAAGTGCTAAACAGCTGAGATTTACCAATGTTTTTAAAGTTATTGTCAACTACACTGTCTCTTATTTGTATAATTATTGTTTGAGGATACTAACAGATTAAAAACTAAAATTTATTTTCAACTTAAGCCAAGTGAAATCTAATCAAGTCTGAAAAATCTGTTTGGGGTAAAGTATTACTACATGCTGTATGCTAAAGAGGAAGATTTAAAGAAAGAAAAAGAAACAATCACCCTTTCTAAAAGGCTGCCAAGAAGGCTCAAGAGTACCAAAGAATGCAAACTTAGACCAAAGCATTATGACAAGTGAATCAGTCTAAGGGCTCTGTCCACTTTGGTAAGCCAAAAAAAAATCAATGTGAATTTTGCTTTTATTTCTAACAGTATGAATTTTCCCAAAGGACTCCGCTTGCTTCAAAATAAAACCAAGTATCCCCAGAACATGCATGATTTAATAGTTTGTGAAAACTCTTTTTTCTTTTTATACAGTAACTGTAATCCAGATTTAACTTTCACATTTATGTATAAATAAATATGGCCTAGGGTTTTTACCTCTGGCTTAAATTTTTTTCTTATATTTTTTTCATAAAGTGATGATAAAAATAGGTACTAATATGAGGCATGATTTAATCAGATAATATAAATAATTTCAAACTATCATTTAAAAAAATAGAGAAGTAACTTTTCTAACATTTTCTACTAAAAAGCACATAAAATAAAATTAAAATACAGGTGAAAGAGGGGAAAAGTGACCATTCTGTTAGATAGATGTACAACTTAAATAAATATAGAATTAAGAATTGCCACCCTACCTATTAGTGGTAAATATTTAAGAGCAAAGCATCATTTTGGTCCAATTGTTCAAAATGCTTTCATTCCATTTTATAATTTCAGTAAAATCACTTGCAGAAAAAATCCACTTCTACAAAACTATGAGAATTCCATTATATACCAGAACAAAATGCCTATATACTTTTTCATACTCAACACTTTCAAACTAAAATGGCAGAAAGCTATTTTACATGCAAAAATCTCTGTAATATTTCTCTGGAATATTATAAGCAGGTGTGAAACATCATAAAAAGGAAATGAAAACACCAGCTAAGTAGATATCATGATCAGTTAGAAACAAATCTGAAATAAAAAATTTTAAATTCTATTAAAAAATTAAGAGAAAAATTCAAGAACTTAATATACTGTTCAACTAATAAATGATGGTCTGTGTAAAATGACATGCTTAGATTGACAATTCCTGAGTAGCAATATGATAGCCAATAGAAAATGAATATTTTAACTACACCAAGATTCAAGGAATTTGCTGCCATCACTATAGCAACTGTCTTAAGGAAACTAACATGTTCAACAACCTGCAGACCAAAATTAGATTTAGTACGCAATAAAAATATAAATATGGCAATATAGTCTACATTTTAATTTCTGAACAATTTTATAATTGCTTTTTTTGTGCTATGAGAATAAGTGGGTTTCTCCTTTAGAGCAACCTATCAAAATAGACTCATTAATGTCCAGTGCACTAATGAGCACTAGGTGAAGGAGGTGTTAATTATGCCATAGTGAGATTCAAGAAAAAGCCCTAGTGAGCACTTGGAGGTGTGTATAAGCTGAAGGCGTTTCTCTATGTTTGTGTATTTACAGCGTGATGCAACAGAACGACAGCAAAGTGGTCACTCCATGGTTAAGAATGGAAATCTCAGATACATACTGAACAAAGAACCCCCAAGGATTAATTAAGGTGTTGGGGGAGGGGGTAAAGGGAAAATAATCCATTTTCTGGAGCTATATGAATTTTCTAAACAGTTTGTTTTAAAGTATATATACATTAAATTAGTTCAGTTAATGTCTTATAAATCCAAATAGTAATTCAGCTAAAAACTTTGCCCCAAACTACCTCCTTAATATGTAGTAACAAAAACTTCCAAGCTAAAGTATGAGGAATATTTTCAGCAATATGATGCTAGACTTTTATAATTCCTTTCCATGCTGAAGTCCTACACACACCACATTGAATCTCTATTCACCAGCCTGACCATTTAATTTTTTTCTGGTACAAGTGCCTTGAGACTTTTCAGAGGTCACTGCAACAGTAGACAGCTTATAACAAAACCATTAGCAGTTCGGCTAGCTTAGGGAAACCTCTTACTTTCCTTTTTTGTTTATTATCACTGCATGAATCTGCAGCATATGATAGTTTATAATTTCTCAGGCTTGTTAAATTCATGTTAAAGGTCTGTTTTCTTGTTGAATAAATTTTGTTCATATAATGCTGCCTATTTCATACACTCAGTCTTTAATAGCACCTTTGGTCTATGCGCAACTCACAGATCAAAACAGAGGACTAAAATAGGGGTTGATGATGCTATTTACATGTGTGATTCCTGCTGTCTTCTTGTTAGTAGCTTTAATATAATAGAAGACCTTGTCTGTTTTGTAATTAACACATCTTTACTGGAGAGATATTTGGAAGTGATTGCTGTGAATATACTGGTTAGTAAAATAAACACAATCACACACCACTTTCTGTTATCAGACAAATTTGTGAATTGTACACATTATACTCCAGATCAACAAACTGTGATATAACAGCCAAGTAGAAGACACATATTTATATAACCCTTTATTTTTCTGAAAATATGTATTCACTCTGACCTTGCAAATATAATTAGCTTGTGGGATGTGCAGATTTCAGTACCATGGTTGCTTTACTAATTGCAACTCTTGGAAATAGATACTAAATATTTGGAAGCTGCCAATACAAAATAAAAACTGCATCTTTTTTGTACATCTGTCTTAGCTTATAAAAGCAAAATAGTTTTAAAAACAATACTGTGTTCCATATTTATTCCAAGCACACCCAGGGGTCAAGCACCTATCATTTCATTTTAATAACGAACCTGGTTTAGGACTCAAAACTATAATTATTTTGAAATTCAGTTCAATTGATAATTTGTTGGCTTCTTTCACGAGTATAGTAGTTTATCCAATACACTATTTATTTTTAAATTCATGTTTTCATATCAACTGCTAGGTCACTGAAAGGCTAGACTAAATTTTTAAAGCATCAATCTATAGTTCCCAATTTTTACATTCAGAAGACGCTGTTTTTTTTAAGTAAGCTCTTAAAATTAGTTTAATATAAAGACATTTGAAAGAAAAACACATAAGCACTTCTGGCAGTAGTTACTGTAATTCATAAAATCTCTCTTTTTTAACAGTAGCTGCCTTTGGCATTTCCAATTGCGCTTACATTGAAGTCAATGACTATGGAAAGTGTTTAGATATAAAATGAACTGAAAAAAAAAAGCTTGAAAGAAAAATTTTAAGACTCAAAATCAATCTTAAACATCAAAATAGCAAGGAGAATTACAATTCAGTTACCAGTTAGGTTACATATTTAAAAACATATAAACCCACCACCATATAAAATAAGTCTCTAAATGACTATAGAAACACTAAGTGTGGAAAGAAAAGCAACACCCCATATCAAATACCCTTTATCACCTAGAAATGACCTGTTATCAACTGCTTAGGTTGTTTCTAGATTCTTTAAAAATTAAGAGTGCATGTGACCTGGGAAGTACTGCTGGGGTTTGTGACCATTTCGTTACTTCTGCTGCCATGCACTGCCAGACGTCTATAAGAGAAAAACATCTTATGTCTCTTGTAAGCCCACAGCATAAAAAATTCAAAGAAACCTTACTTTTTATGCCATTTCCAATGAAAAGCACTAAGAACTAAAACTGACTCATGCCAAATGCATATCACTGAATTGCTGTGATTTCTTAGTCTCAAGTTTGCAACACGGAAATTATTTATAAAATGTCAATTTTAGCTCTGGAAAAGAAATTCCTATGTGAGTGTACGTTTTCTTTCTTCATCCTTGGAGAATTGCTTACTGTAGCTAGAGATCTGTAGCACAACTTCAATATATTGGGAGAAAGGGGGATGGGGTGTAACTAGCATAAACTACTTTTTTTGACAAGTGAAGACATACATCAAAATTCAAAGTTAAGCCACAAGTTTTGAACATATATGC